ATGCGCCTGTAATCCCAGGCTGAGGCAGGACAAACATGAGTTCAAAACCAGCCTCAACAAAGTCACAAAATGATTATCTATACATCCCAAATGCCCACAAACTTGTTTTGTCTGTCTTTGCACAGTGGGAAAAATCGATTGCAGCTCAAAAGCAACCATGTCTTTTTAGAGAGTAGGGCTTATGCTCTCCAATTTGTCATGGTCCCACCTAGAGTGATTCACTCATTGCAGTCATCTGTTGGCTCCTGGAAGCATTTGAGTTTTCAACCACTGGTGTAAAACCAGAAGGAACCTTCAGGAGCATCTGACCCAACGCCACCCATTTTCTAGATGAGGAAATAAGGAGATCCATAGCAGTTTATGAAAACTAGTGTTTCATTTTCCAGTACTAGACAGGACCATGGAATAAGGATCTGAGAATATTGAGCACCTACTTGTTCTTATGGTATGTCATTTTTATATCTGTATTTCTGTGAAGTAAGTTGTATGCTCATTCTAAACATGAAAAATATCTCCCCCTGATTTTTTATTTACTGACGGAAAAGGGGTAGAGTCAGTTTCTTAGCCTTTCTTTTTTCTTTAATCACACTGCATTGTTTGCTTGGTTGGTTTTGTTTTTCCTTCTTTGTTTACTTGTTCTATAGTGCCCAGCACATAAAAGGTCCTCAACAAGTTTGAGGAGCACAGTAGGCCTCAGCTACTATGGATTGCCTTATGAGGACATACAGGAAATAGATGAAGTTGGATCATGTGATCCTTAGGTTTCCTTCAAGTTCTACACTTGTGGTTGCAACCTTGAATGCCTGCAGGGACCAGTAATTTTTTCTTAGCTGACAGGATATGAGCCAGTATTTGAATCCAGATCCTTCTGAACCAATTAAGCCTCATGTTCTAAAATCTCAAATCACTTAAAAATTCCTTTTGCTCCTGATTTCAGTATCCTCCCTTGCTTTTATCAGAACTTCTAACTAGCAACAAGTAACTATTACAGAATAAGTAAATGATGACAAAACACTAACTTTGATCAAAGAAAGTATAAATGCTAACAGTCTGATGATTTTACCCCTTATCACTAAATAAAATATTAGACTAACTTTCTCTAGAGGCCATACATTTTCCATTAGGGAAAAATTAGAATTTTGGAAAACTAGTAAACTTAAGATTATTACAAAGAAATAAGAGACCAAAGAAATTCTTGGATGCCCTGTGTATTCGTCTCGTTCTCAGGAAAGCATTTGCTCCGATAAAATTAAATGTGCAAGGATTTTATTAGGGGAAAATGTTTATATGTAAAGGAAAATACAAAGCTAGAACCATTTGACCTTGATGCAAGTCTGACCCCATGAAGGAAAGAGGAAGAGAGAACAGGGTGAAATGTCCAGGAAGTCCACCTTAAAGTGTAAGGTTCAGCAAAACCCTTTGGGATAAGGTCTTGATCCACTCACAAGTCCTTTTGTCAGCTAACCAAGGAGTCCCATCTCCCCTGAAAAAGGTTTGCATGCTTATCTCTGCTAACCTCAGTTGGAGGCAGGAACCAGCCCTTGGGAACTGTGGCTTTGGCCTGGGTGCAAATTCAGGAAATTCACTTCTAAGCAGCATTTGGACCCCTGCTTGGATAACACTCAGTAACCTGAGAGATGCATTCTCATGTCCAGCACACTGGCAGTATAAAAATGCAGTGTATTCTGCCTGGCCTGTTAACAGATTTGACATACTCCATGTATTTGATCTACAGTTCCAAAACAAATTTCCTGTGTTCCCCCACTGTTTGTAGCTACCCTTCACTCCAGGTGTCCAACTATAAATGCAAGATGACTTATGGAAACTGACTGATTCACCTTATTCAGACCCAGCCCTCCAGAATGTACCTAAGAAACCAAGAATATTGGGTCAGAGAGGCAAATGACTGGAAATATTCTGATATGGGAAGGATAATATTACCATTACATAAAGACCATTATGTGCTAGGACTGTAACCTTGAAGAAAACAGAAGCCTGAACTAATTCCAACTTCAGTATGTTATCTTTCTTGGTAACAGCTTCTCCATCTTTCTCCAAGAAAATGGGCTTTTCCACCCTCCCCTATACTGGGGATTGAGCCCAGGAGTACTATACCACTGAGCTACATCCCTGGCCCTTTTTATTTTTAGGCAGGATCTCGCTAAGTTGTTGAGGTTGACTTTGAACTTGCAATCCATCTACCTCAGCCTCTAGAGTAACTGAGATCAAAAGCTGTGCCACTGTGCCTGTAATGTTGTAGGGGACAGATGAAGCAGGACCCCGGATAGGAAACAGGAAGCTAGTTTATTTGGCTGCAGAAAGGTTCAGAGGGCAAAGCTTTCCGCTGTAATCAATCAATCCCCCTGAACCCCAAGTTCAGGCAGTTTCAGAACTTTATACCCATCTTGGAAGGGGAGGGGCTCAGAAGTTCAGTGTGCAGAAGTTCACCCAAAAGCAGCTTTTTCTTTCAATGTTCTGGGCAAGTTAACCCTTCAAGGACAGTGCCTGAGAAGGGGAGAGCTTCTTCTCCCCTTTCTTTCCTCTCCCTGCCAGCTGTTACCATGGAGCCCAATTAGTAACATCTTCTCTAATCTTCGAAATGTAAACATCTCTGTGTAGCTCCAGCCCAAGGCCAGAGGCCTCCTTAAAATAATCTTTTTCTTATCACACTCTGCATTTGCAGACACACTTCCCTTGAAAACCTTTACAGATTGTTATACATGTATACATATATATATATGTGTGTGTGTGTGTGTGTATATATACATTTTTTTTTTTACTAGATATCCATAAATGTTTGTGAAAATCTAGTAAAGAGGTGTTCAGCACCCGGAGTGTTGATCTCTTTCAGGCCTGTGGCCAAATTTAATTATTGTAAGAGCAACAGGAAATAGGAAGCTTAACTACATTGAACTCTTTTGTAGAGATTCTTTTGCTCATAGTCATATAATCAATTATGGTGAAGATTTCTGGAGAAGCTTAATTAAGATTTTCTCTTGGGAAGAGGGTGCCACTACAGTAATAGTGGGCATATACCTAAACAAAGCCTCTTTTACCTGTAATCCCAGAAATTTAGGACGCTGAGGCAGGAGGATATCAAGTTCAAGGCCAGCCTCAGCAATTTAGCAAGGCCTTAAGCAACTCTTGTGAGGCCCTATCTCAAAATAAAAAACAAAAAGGACCCAGGATGTGGCTCAGTGGTTAAGCACCCCTGAGTTCAATCCCTGGTACAAAAAAATATAGATAGATAGATACATAGAGATAAAAAATAAATATATAAATAAAATATCATAAATACATAAATATATGTGAAATATATCAATATTTAATAGTATATAATTAACAAATATATATTTTATATATTTATGTATATAAATATATTTTTATATATTATAAAAATACATATATATTGGGCTGGGGCTTTAGCTCAGTGGTAAAGCGCTTGCCTCACATGTGTGAGGCACTGGGTTCCATCCTCAGCACCACGTAAAAAATAAAGATACTTTATGTCCATCTACAACTAATAAAAATTTAAAATATATAGTGTATATATATATATAGATAGATAGATAGATACATACACATACATATACACACAAAAAAATTTAAAAATCCCTCTTTAAGTTCTCTCTCATATTTGGAAATGTCCTTAATTTAGCAGTAAGAAACTAGGGCAAGGTCATTAAAGGTTATTTTTGCATCCAGAAAACAAGGAATTATTTTTCTTTTAAAGTGTACATATTTTTACGTCACATGTCCAGAAACAAAAGATTTGAAAAACCTCATCCCCCACCGATTCCCCCTCCAAGCCAACCAGTTCCTCTTCCCAAAGAAACCAATGTTATCACAATTACATTTTATATATATTCAAGCATACGAATATTTTATTTTCCTGCCTTTTTAATGCAAATAATAGTTACACTGTTCATAGGTTATTATTAAATTGCATAAATGTACCACGCTTAATTGAATCAGTCCCCTTGTTTTCAATTCAATCTACAAACTGCTGAAGTGTACAGCACGGCACATACATAATTTTTCATATGCACATGTACGAAGGATACATTTATTTAAAAACCAAGGTATATTTACATTCATAATTCCAGAATATCCTCAACAGAATTTATACCAATCCTGCACTCTCATCCACAAAATGCAAATGTCAGGGAGCGTTTTAGAACAGGAAGGTATAATATGGAAGATGGAAATGTTATGTAAAATTAGAATGCTGTCCACTTGGCTATGATTTTATTATCTTTAAGAATCAAAAGTCCACACAGAGGAAAACCGTGTAAGCAGACATACTTAGTTTGGACATTCACATAAGCTGGGCCAAGAAACATCTTTCCCTTCTTAGCCATAAGAGAAGTGCACAGAAATCCACCAGAAGCAAAATTTCTGAACAACGTTCAGCATCGATAACATCGCAAAAGTCAGAAGAGCACAGTGGAGATAAGGACTACTGGGGCCTCTTTAGGAAGACCGTTTGCAATTTTCCCTCACAGTGTTTAACTGCTAGTGGCCACAAGTCCCTTCCACTTATTGTCTTCTAGTGAAAGAATTAAAATAACCCAAGTGGTGATGATTGGGCCCCTTATGATGCAGAGAATGCTGAGACCTGTGGACCGCAGCCCTTAGAAGGCTCTCACCGCAGCGGTGGGCAGTGCAAAAAGGCCATCGTGGACCATGGCCTCGAAGAAATTGGAAGCCTCTGCGGGTTTTCTCTGTGGGAGTGGATTCCTAAATATCTCGCAGGTAAATTCTACTCCCTGCAATTAGATGCTCAGCTCTGAAAGCCTTGGAACCATCCGTGTCGGCCAACCACGGAGCTGCAAAGCTGCGCGACCCCCTCCCTGGCCCACCTTTTCTTTTTGGCCTCCTCCAGAGGTATGGAAAGTCGCGTACCGGGTACAGGCCAGTCACGTGATGCCGCCTACTCACATGATGCGGGCGGGGCGGGCCTCGTGCTGCATTACGTCATCACGTCGCGCGGCCGCAGAGACTAGAGCCGGGACGACCGCGGCTACCGCTCCAGAGCCTCCGGGTCTGGGCGGCGGCGGCGGCGCTCCGGCTCCCGCTGAGCCGCCTGCTGGCCCCGCGCCCCACCCCCTCCCCACGGGCTGGGGACGGGCCCTGCGCAGCTGGGTGGGCCCGGGAGCGGAGGTGAGTGGCGCGGAGGTGGTGGCATTCCGCCTTTCTACCCCTCAACTCCCGATTCTGGCCCTTCCCCCATCCTCGGTCGCCCTCCCAGGTGGAATGGGAGGGTCGTCGGGAGAGGAGGGGTGCTGGGGCTCGAGCGGCCTCCCCTCGGCTCCCCAGCGCCGCGCCCCTCCCGCTCCTCCACCTGGCGGTGCCTGGTGGTTATCAAGGGAGGAGACCCCGTTTCTTATCTGCAGTTGATCCTTCCAGAATTTGGAAACCGTCGCCCCGATCTCCGGTGGTGGAACCCCTGTATTCAGATATTAACGCAAGTTCTAGAATAGATCACTTCCAAAAGGTGAGGGCGAAGGCTGTACTGAGACTGCTCGGCCAGGCAGGAATGCCCAGAGGAAAGACAACTCTGCACTAAGGTTACGGTCAGTTTTGACAAACCGTTAAGTCTAGCCACAGGCTGGGCCCTGCGGTAACGCCCCAGAGCACCTTCAGAGACTGCAGACATTTGATCAGACCTTTCTTGCATCCTTAGAGTTAAAACCAAGTTGATTTAAGGAAAACGTGTGCTTTTTTGTAAAAGGAATCTTGCTGAGTCGTCGGAGGGAGTATCTGGAGTGCATTTAGAGAAATGCAGCCATAAACAAGTTGATGAGAATTTAGGATCTGGTTTTAGCATTCAAAAATTAGGACTGAGTTGTGGACTTTTAAAGACCAGTTTGACTTTTCTTCCTCATTTTGGAAAGTTTTGTGTTTCAAATAAAACTGTCTCAATAACAACTAACCCCATTTCATTCCTCAGAAATTTCCTTGAAGGGAAAAAAAAAAGTCACACATCTAGTGTGACTAAAGCCCATCCACAATCAAGAAACTACTTAGGCTGATTTTCAAATGTGTAATCTGTTAGTTTATTTAATTAATGCATACAAGTGAACTTTGCACAGTCACCCCCTTGATCTTTACAGGGCATATAGGTCCCAGGAACTCAGAGTTGCTGAAGTCCCTTATATAAAATGGCATAGTATTTGCATATAACCTATTCACATCCTCCTGTATTCTTTAAACCATCTTTACGTTATTTATAATACAATGCAAATGCTATGTAAATATTCTTTACCTGTATTGTTTAGGGAATAATGAAAAGAAAAAAATTGTACATGTTCATTGTATAAGAAATTTTACTTGTTCAGTGTTTTTTGATTCATGGTTGGTCAAATCCATAGATGTGGAACTAGAGGAAGAAGAGGTAACTTTAACTTGGAATAGTTGGTGGCTAGATCAAGGTGGTGATGTCAGGAATAGGAGTGTTCTCTACTTGTGGATGTTTGGGTCTGAAGAAGCCTTTTCTTGATTCTTTAATTTATAAAGTTAATTGAGTGTATTCAGTTTCCCCATTTATTCATATATGCTCTTCGTTTTTTTTTCTCTTGCAGTGGCAGAATCCAAGGACCCTTTTTGTTTTTTCTCCATATTACTTGATGGGAGGCATTATGGCCCCCAAAGACATAATGACAAATACTCATGCTAAATCCATCCTCAACTCAATGAACTCCCTCAGGAAGAGCAACACCCTCTGTGATGTGACATTAAGAGTAGAGCAAAAAGACTTCCCTGCCCATCGGATTGTGCTGGCTGCCTGTAGTGATTACTTCTGTGCCATGTTCACGAGTGAGGTAAGTGGTATGATGTTGCCACACAAATGAGACTCAGAATACATAATCTTGTTGATGTCTCTTTTCACTGAATAAAATAGTAGAAGTTTGATATGATAGTGAATTTTTATGGTAGAGTAGCTAAAACAAGCAGTCTCTGGATAAGATGTGTGTTGTTTTCCTCATCTCTAAATTAGGGGTGGGAATGATAGTACTACATAATAACATGAGATTACTGTAAAGATTATTTTAGAAGATTACATATAAAGTGCTTAGAAGAGTCTCTAGTGTATAGTAAAACACACAAATGCATTGGATTTTACTTAATGTTTTTTAAGTTTGCCTTCCAGTTTTCTCCCAAGATTTTAAGGTGAATACCAGGGGAATAGGAAGGAAGGAAAGAGGAAGAATAGGATTCAGACCTAATCTAATGCCTTCTAACAATATATGATGAAAAATTAGTATCCATTCTACCAGTATAGATTCCAGAATGATTTCAAATGAGGGGAATAAAATCTAGTGAATGACTATGCAGTTGTAAAGAGTATGACTTGGGGAAAAAAACTGACTCAGGAGTCTAAGAATTAACAAAGGGAATTAGCAATAGGTTGTCTTTGACAAGTTAAGGATAACTATTTTTATGGACCAGCTACTGTGCTCCATGTTTGTTATGCATATCTCACCTTGGGGATAGTGTTGCCATCTCATTTTACAAATAAAGGAACAAGGTATATTAAATGAGTTGCCCAAAGTCTTGAACTTGTAAGTGGTAGAGGTAGAATTTAAGCCTGTATTTTCTGACTCTAAGGCCCAGTTTTCGCCTACTGTGTTAACTCAGCCTCTGAAATATACATTTTATATAGTCTACAATCTAATTTTAAAACCGATATAGTTTATGTTACTGTGAGCCAGTGCTCAGTCACATGGTTGGTAGGAAAAACAGAAACTTGACAGGTCGTTCCTGCTAATCTAGGCTAATTTAAAATGATCTTATGTAACATAACCTTACATATCCTTGTGCTATACTGTTTTCCACAATATCTGCCCATGAGAAGCAGTTGGCAGGTAACTGGGTAAGGAGAATGCAGCTGCTGAGCATGAAATGGGCTGCTAATGATATATTGTGCATCCTGTTTTTTGTCAGCTTGAAAAAATTTGTCTACATTATTTTTTCCCACATTGAGAAATAAGTATGGAGTTTTGTAAAATCAATCTTTTTTTAAAAACTGTTTTTATATATATTTTTTGATTTTTGATGACTTGGGCTTACTAATCTGCTACACTCCTGATGTATTTATTCTACCTTAATTTCATGTTATGTATGCAAAATATATTTATCCCTTTAAAGTAAAAAAAAAAACAAAACTGTTTTTATCAGGCAAAAATGATACGTGGCTTATGTTTGCTCTTAAGAGTAATTGATTTAAAGGAATTCCCAGACCTGGAATTCTAGGTTTGTTTTCTTGGCAGTTCTGTATGAACCCTAGCAATCATCTAACTGCACTGGGTGGATGTGTAAAAGAATGGTTGAACTAGATGGTTCCTTGTTATCTTCCATCCATAACATGTTTCTCAAATGTGCAAATGAGAGATCACAGGACTGAGACCAGAGGACCTGGGTTTTACCTTCTCCTTGTCCCTTACTAATTAAGTTACCAAGCTCAGGTCATATAACTTATTTTTTTAATTTTTTTAGTTGTTAATGGACCTTTATTTATTTATATGCAGTGCTGAGAATCTAACCCAGTGCCTCACACATGCTAAGCTCTACCACTGAGCCACAACCCCAGCCCCCATATAATTTCTGTAAACCTTAGATCATTTATCTCTTAAGTAACAACAACATCATGCTTAACCATCTAACCAGGTGATGTGGGAATTAGATGAAATGATCGTAAACAAGAAGCATGCTGACAGACTGTGGCGCAAAATGTAAATGTGAAATGTTCTGAGTTCTTACATAAATAAAATAATTTTCATATTTAAATTGATTGTCTACTGGGAATACATTTGATTTATTGAATGACAGAATACACATACTCATATCTTTTTTTTTTTTTTTTGGCATCAGAGATTAAACCCAGGAATGCTTAACCATTGAGCCAAATCCCCAGCCCTTTTTAAAAAATTGAGACAGGGTCTTGCTAAGTTTCCCAGGCTAGCATAGAACTTGCAGTCCTCCTATCTCAGCCTTCCACTCACTGGGACTACGGGCATGTACCACCACAGCTGGCTAGTAGTGATGTTTTTTAATGTCAGGGATTGATTTGTGTTTTTGCTTTGGTAAATAATGCTTTTTGATTATTCTATGGTTTGATGAAGAAATCAAAGATAATAAAGCCATCTAGTTCATAGTGTAAGTGTACTAGGGTTTTGTGGGTAATATCACTAAAGTTTAGATCTAGTAAAGTTTTCATGAGTTAATCAGCTTTCAGATAGATTATTGTCCTGTAAAGTTGAAGATTTTTACTCTAACGATTTTTTGCTGGGCATGATGGCACACACCTGTATTCCCAACAACTCAGGAGGCTAAAGCAGGAGGATCACAAGTTCAAAGCCAGCCTTAGTAGTTTAGTGAGGCCCTAGGTAACTTAGTGAGACCCTCTCTCCAAATAGAGATAAAAGGGCTGGGGAATATCTCAGTAATTAAGTACCCCTGGTACTTCAATCTCTGATACCAAAAAACCCCACATTTTTCTGTGATTATCTGGCCTTATCAGTACTCATTATTTCAAGGAACTATTCTAGACCAAATGTACAACCAATTACAAGTTACTCAGTAATCCTAAAATAGAATCATCCCAATATTTTATAATTGAATTTTGTATGTGTGTGTGCTAAGGCGCAAAGCTATGGCCTCACACATGCTAGGCAAGGACTCTGCCACAGAGCTAATATCTCAGAGACCCATTTTTTGAAAAAGTATCAAACAATTCAGTTATATTGAGAATGTTAATAGAAGGCCCCTTGAGGTAATCTGCGTGTTCCTTTTCGTTGTTACCAACTTTAGTCTAAAGGTAGGTGACAGAATTTGGTAAATTTGGAAAATGTGGACTTGTAACCCACAGGATCCTCTAGAAGCTTCAAATTTTGTATGTTAAAAGCACGTGGCTGGGTGCAATGGTACATGCCTGTAATCCCAGTGGCTCAGGAGGCTAAGCAGGAGGATCACGAGTTTAAAGCCAGCCTCAGCAAAAGCAAGGTGCTAAGCAACTCAGCAAGACCCTGTCTCTAAATAAAATATTTAAAGGGCTGGGGATGTGGCCCAGTGGTTGAGTGCCCCTGAGTTCAATTCCTATTACCAAAAAAAAAAAAAAAAAAGCTCATGGACACTAATGGTATATTCATACTGCATTTGTTCTATTCTTTAAAACATCTATTTTTGTTTTAATATGGAATTGGGATTTTAAATTATTCACTTGTAAAATTGGTATTCTACCTCTCTGTACTCCTAGGGTTACAGATAACTGCCTTCTCCATTTGAAAAGCTCCAAATTTATGCCCTATTTCCTTTATACAAACCCAATAAATAGATCATCATTTTAAAAAAGATGTTTATATGATTGATATTATTAACATCCTTTTTATCTGTGGGGATTTGAGATTTTACCTTTATGTTGTAGAAGTATTCTTAGAAAATATTCTTAGATAGAAAGTAGTCTTCTTATCCTGTGAATTTTCAGCTTTCAGAGAAGGGGAAACCATATGTTGATATCCAAGGTTTAACTGCTTCTACCATGGAAATTCTGTTGGACTTTGTATACACAGAAACAGTCCACGTGACAGTAGAGAATGTACAAGAACTGCTCCCTGCAGCCTGTTTGCTTCAGCTGAAAGGTACAGACATTGAAAGTTGGTGTTGTTCATACCAGAATAGCCCTGGAAATATTTAAAATAGGTATAAACTTCATCATAAAACTCATGGAAACCAACTATGGGAACATAAGTTTACCATCCATGGTTTTTGAATCTTTGAGCAATGAAAGATCAGATGTCAATAACATTATGAAAAAAACCTCTCCAAATATGAGTATCCAGCTATGAAAGAGAGTGTTTACACCTCTTCTGTTTTTTATAACAGTGGAAAAATGAATAATATATATATTTTCTGACACATACGTGTATACGATACCCCTGTAAGAGTTCGTTCTTCTAAGCCAAGGAGGAATGGAACCTTATGGTATTCATTGCCTGCATAGATATATTTAACTGCTTGGCTATCACATGGCCAGATTGATATGGAGCCTACGGGCACTTTTCATGGTAAACTTTTTTGTATCTTTAAATTTTTGATCCATGTAAAATATCTATTAAAATTTAAACTGATATAAGAAAATGATAGTGTAAAAGTCACACAAGTAGACATAATCTCCCTTCCAGTTTCCAGACTGTTTTCATTCTTTCCTTTTTATATACATATAATTGAAATATTTTCCATTTTTATTCCAGGATAAGATAGTTAGAAGTTTTTGCATTAGTCCAGAGAAATAAAATTAAGATTACACTCTCTGAACTTTTTTTTTTTTTTTTTTAATATGGTACCAAGGTAGAACCCAGGGCCTTGTGCATAGTAGAATTTTAGGCAGGCACTCCACTACTGAGCTACAACCCCTACTTTGGTCTTTCTGATTAGAGAAGTATGAAATTGTTTGTGGTATTTTCTGTTTTTTCCTTCACTGGAGCCTTTTAATAAGGTTTGATGTAGAGTATAAAATAGTTATATTTGCTGAATTATTAATTAATTTTATAGATTGATTTTCAAGTTTTATAGTTTTGCTTAATTGTGCTAGTGTCCCTGGAAGCAGTTCATCTTGCTATACTCATTTTAAAGATGAAGCAGAGGCAGATATAAAATTCTTATGAAAGTGACATAGCACATAAGACAGAAATAAGATTTTAATTCCTTAAACATAGAATTTCTAGCCAGGCGTGGTAGCACACACCTGTAATCCCAGTGACTTGGAAGGCTGAGGCAGGAGGATTGTAAGTTTGAGGCCAGCCTCAGTAACTTAGTGAGACCTTGTCTCAAAATTTAAAAAAAAATTGAAAAGAGCTGGGGATATGGCTTTGTGGTTAAGCACCCCTGGGTTCAATCTCTGGAACTAAAAAAATAAAATAAATTTTCTAATCTGCTTCTTAGATGTTGAGCTGGTATTCCTCTAATAACATACAAAGATGATGGTTGACATCCAAGAATATAAGACCAATTCACACCTGACCCAAATGTCTTGGAAGTATATTCACTACCTATGTTTGTTCTAGGGGTGAAGCAGGCCTGCTGTGAATTCTTAGAAAGTCAACTGGACCCTTCAAATTGCCTGGGTATCAGGGACTTTGCTGAAACTCACAATTGTGTTGACCTGATGCAAGCAGCTGAGGTTTTTAGCCAGAAGCATTTTCCTGAAGTGGTGCAGCATGAAGAGTTCATCCTTCTGAGTCAAGGAGAGGTGGAAAAGCTAATCAAGTGTGATGAAATTCAGGTAAAGATTTGGCTTGGTGTTATGGTTTCTTCAAAACGGCCGTATCACAATGGTGGAGGGGATTGGCTCTCATGAAGATTCAGGGAAGAACAGGGGAGTGGAAGGGATGAGGAGGGAGGGAGGAAGGAAAAAAGATGGAATGAATCTAACAACATCATGTTTTATTTATTTATACACACTCTAGAGGGAATATCTCCTTTTTTGTATTTGAAAGAGTCAATCAAGAAAACCAATAAAAAATAAATATAGGAGTGAAAAGATCAGTAAAGAGAAAAGGGGGAGGGAGAAAAGGAAAGGGGAATGGGGATTGGAAATCAGATTCCTTTTATGTATAATTATGTCAGAAGGAACTCAAATAATATGTATAAATATAATGCTCTAATAAAATAAAACAGGGCCATTACAAACTTGCAAAGGAGTTACTATGCTTCTGTATCAGAGCTTCATAATTAAGCTGGCTCCAAAAATATTGGCTCCAAAGACTTCAATTTATTTGCCTGGTTATGGAGAAGGAGTTTACCATATTCTTGCTTAAATATATGATCCTAGTGGTTAAGAACCACTATTAAATAGAGCCAAATAAGCAGAGATTGGAAGCAAGATAAAGGTCCAAAGAGTACTATTAACCATTCACTCATTTTACAGAGATTTATTGAGAGTATCTACTATGTGGCAATCACTAAAACAGGTGCTATGAATCCAAAACTGGTAAAATACAATTCACAGTGTAGAACTAGACACAGACATATAGACAAAAAAAGAATAGAATATAATGAAAATAATGGGCATATACAAAGTAAGAAAATCACACTGGGCGGCACATGCCTGAAATCCCAGCAGCTCTGGAGACTGAGGCAGCAGGATCACAATTTCAAAGCCAGCCTCAACAACTTAGTGAGGCCCTGAGCAACTCAGTGAGACCCTGCCTCTAAAGAAAAAACCAAAAGGGCTGGGGATGTGGCTCAGTGGTTAAATGCCCCTGAGTTCAATCCCTAGTACCAAAAAGAAAAAGAAGAGTAAACTTTTGCCCAGGAGTGGATCAAAAAGGAAGAAACAAAAAACTTTGGGCTGAGCATGGTGGTGCATACCTGTAATCCAAGTTACTAGAGAGGCTGAGGTAAGGAGATCATAAGTTTGAGGCCAGCCTTAGCAACTTAATGAGGCCCTAAGCAATTTAGCAAGACCCGCTCTCAAAAAAAAAAAAAATTTGAAAGGCCGGGGGTGCTGGGGATGTGGCTCAGTGATTAAGCACCTCAGTGTTCAATCCCCATTACCACACACACAAAAAAAAAAGTTTGGTAATGAGGGCCTGCATAAGCAAGAGCCAGACATAACTGCTTTACAGAGTTGCACAGGCATGGAAGGAAGGGTCCTGTGAACTGGATGTTAAAAGAGTAGTGATTCATCTAGCAGAGGAAAAACTACCTGTGCCAGGTACCCACTCAGTAACTGAACCCAGCAAGGAGAATCTTAAGTCAACCCCAATTCTAAATCAAAGTACCTGAAGTTTAGCAAAGTTTTTATGCAGATAGGTCTATAGTTAGGCTTAGAATTGGAGTGAAAAATCCAATGCCTTTGAAACCTGTAGTTTTAATCTCTAGTAGCCTAATTCTGTAGATAGCAACTTCTAGAAAAATACCTGTCAGAGCCGAGTGGTAGGATAGACTGTTGGATTTTGTTTCCCCCAGTTAGGAGAAATTTGATTTTCTAGGCAAGCTAGTAAGATTCTCCTCACTTTTCTCCTCAATTCTCCTTTGGTAACAAGAAAATGGAATTTTCATTAAGGAGTTTCCTCATGGAAGCTAGTGGCACCTCAACAGGTGTACCTGTGTTTAAGCCGAGATTTAAATTTTATAAAGAATTAAAAATTTGATTAATGTAGTCTTAAGTGCCGCAGGAGGAATTTGCTGCTTAAAGAAATTCTCGGGCTGGGGTTGCAGCTCAGTGGTAGAGCACTTGCAAAACATGTAAGGCACAGGGTTCGATTTTCAGCACCACATAAAAATAAATAAATAAAGATATTGTGTCCATCTACAACTTAAAAAAAAATAAATAAACAGAAAGAAAAAAGAAATTCTCTGATTTTTGGGGGGGGGTTGGGGGCATACACCAGGGATTGAACTCAGGGGTACTCAGCCACTGAGCCACATCCCCAGCCCTATTTTGTATTTTATTTAGAGACAGGGTCTCACTGAGTTCCTTAGCATCTTGCTTTTGCTGAGGCTAGCTTTGAACTCACGATCCTTTTATCCCAGCCTCCCAAGCCACTAGGATTACAGGCATGCTCCACACTGGGCCTCTGATATATTTTTGTAAACCAAATGATTACTTCATGAATTATTTTGTCAGAACTAAGATTTTTATGTAATAAAATGACAGATTATATATATATATTATTATATTATATATATATTATTATATTATATATATATATGTTTTTTTTTAATTTTAGCCAACTTTTTTGTTACAGGTTAGTGACTTTTCTGAGGGAAAATTTATTAGGACACATTGGTGAAATTGTTTCTAACAAAAGAGGAATTATCTTGCAACTTCACATGCTGTTTCAGCCCAAAGAGACTGCTGTTACAAAAACTGCTGAGTCAAGAATATGCTAAAGGGGGATGGGGTTGTGGCTCACTGGTAGAGCACTTGCCTAGCACATGTGAGGCGCTGGGTTCAATCCTCAGCACCACATAAAAATAAATAAATAAAGTATTGTGTCCATCTATAACAAAAATATATATATATATATATGTTAAAATCTTAGTTCTCATTCTTATGGTGTAGGACATGTAAATCCTTGTGCTGACAGGCCAAGCATAGCCAAAAATTGTATTCTTCAATCTTGGAAACTGGCAGTTTGTTAGATTTGCTTGAAAATTGGCAATTTGCTTGATTTTTCTTGATTTATCCATAAAATAGAAAATACAGTGAATGAAATAAGCACTATAGACACTGTTCACTGTATGTGATAATTTACTCAGCATTTACTATTAGTTTATTTACCAAATATTTATTGGGCACTTACTATGTGCCCAGAACACTTCTAGGTGCTGGGATCCAGCTGTGAACAAAACAGACAAAAATCAGTTTCTTGGAGCTTCCAGTCTAAGAAGTCTGCTCTTGGTATTTTTATCTTATTTAATTCTTATATCTCCATTTAAAAAAAAATATTTATTTTTTAGTTGTAGTTGGACACAATACCTTTATTTCACTCATTTATTTTTATGTGGTGCTGAGGATGGAACTCAGGGTCCCACACATGCGAGGCAAGTTCAAGGCAAGCGCTCCACGGCTGAGCTACAACCCCAGCCCCTATACCTCCATTTTTGAAAGAAGAAACTGAGGCTTGGAAATTAATCATTATACCACACCTAGTAAGTGGTTGAGCCAGGATTCAAATGCAATCAATCTGGCTCCAGAGTCTCTTCTATTAACCACAAAAGCTGGAGCTTTGTCACATGGTCAGTTTGTTCATAATTTTCCAAATGAGAAAGCAATTCAGATGTAATTTATTTTATTTGGGAACTGTGAAGACTTAGGAACAAAGTAAAATGTAACAAAGCCTTATTCAGAAGTTAGAAGCTTACATGAAAAACAGTTTGAGAGGGGTTGTTTTGTTTTTGTTTTTTTGTTTTTTTAGTTTTCCGTAAGTATATATTAAGACTGGCCTTTGCTTTTTATCTGTAATTACAACAAATGGCATATTTTTCTGTTTATATACCAGCCAGAAATAGGAACCAGATGTCTTGATTCCCAGTTGCTAACACTTCCTCTTATTAAATAAAACAGTAGTATATAAAACAGTGGGAAGAAGTATATCATGTTGGTTAAAATAACATGGATTTTACAGTCAGAATTGGGTATAATCTTGGCTGTGTAACATGTGTTATCTGTTAACTTTACATTTCCTCTCCTATAAAATGAAAATAATATTAGTATTAGTACATAAAACTATTCTGAGCATTAAATGAGAAAGCCAGTGGCTGATACGTAGAGAAATCTTCGTGAAAATTCATTAAAGAGAAACTATTTTTTTCTATAGTGAAACATTAACATTGAAGTTTTTCTTCCCCTAAATTTAGCTGTTTCTCTGCAATTCTAATTTATTTGGCTTCAGTAAAAGTAAGAAGTTCTTCCCATGATTGAAAAACTCATCTTTACATTGTTGTATCTAATTTAAACCTTGAAGCTGGGCATGGTGGCGCAAACCTGTAATCCCAACTACTCAGAAGGCTGAGGCAGGAGGATAGGAAGTACCTGGCCAACCTCCGCAACTTAGGAAGACCCTCAAATAAAATGAAAGGCACTGGGAATGTAGGTTGGTGATAGAGTGCTTGCTAACATGTGTGAGGCTCTGTGTTCCATCCCCAGTACCACAAATAAATAAATAAAATAGATAGTAATTTAAATCTAGAATGTTTCAAGAATCTAGCATGCATCTGCTTTAAACTATCATTCCTTTAACAGCAACAAAAACTTACCAAATCATGGACACACTCTGCACCCTCCCCTGAATTTACTCCATCAATATCCTGGAATATTTTGACCTCCCAAATACTTCTCTAGTACATCCATTTGTATGTGTGTGTGTGTGTGTGTGTGTTGAGGGGTGGGGGTAATGGAGATTGAACCTAAGGGCACTTAGGCACTTAACTCTTTCCCTACCCCCTTTTTATTTTTTATTTTGAGACAGAGTCTCACTAAGTTGCTGAGGCTGGCTTTGAACTTGTGGATCCTTCTGCTTCAGCCTCCCAAGTACCTGGGATTAAAGGCATGTACCAGTGCTCCCGGAGGACATCTGTTCTTTATCACCACTGCCACAACTTAATCTAAATGCCTTAATCTTTTGCATATTATACTAGAATGACATCTAATTGATCTTCCAGCTCTTGGCCATTCTAAATTCTACTTTTTTTTTTTTTTTGGTTTTTTTTTTGGTTTTTTTCTCATCTATAGGACAAGGCTGAAACCCACCTAATAAAGATTCGTGTCGGGACGGGTGTTGGGGACTGAACCCAGGGGTGCTCCTACCGCGGAGCTACATCTCCAAGCCCTTTCTAAAATTTTTTTTTTTTTAAAGAGAGAGTGAGAGAGGAGAGAGAGAGAGAGAGAGAATTTTTTTTTAATATTTATTTTTCAGTTTTCGGTGGACACAACATCTTTGTTGGTATGTGGTGCTGAGGATCGAACCCAGGCCGCACGCATGCCAGGCGAGCGCGCTACCGCTTGAGCCACATCCCCAGCCCCCCTAAATTCTACTTTTGAAAGCCAGGTTTTTGTTTGTTTGTTTTTGATTTTGATTCCAGGGATTAAATCTCGGGACACTTAACCACTGAGCCACATCCCCAGTCCCCTCCCTTTTTAATATTTTTTTTTAGTTGTCAGTGGACCTTATATTATTTATTTATATGTGGTGCTGAGAATTAAACCCAGTGCCTCACACATACTAGAAAAGCACTCTACCCATGAGCTACAACCCCAACCCCCCAGCTTTTTTTTGTATTTTATTTAGAGACAGGGTCTCACTGAGTTGCTTAGGACCTCATTAAGTTGTTGAGGCTGGCTTTGAACTTGCTATCCTCCTGCCTCAGCCCCCTTAGTTGTTAGGAGTGGTGTACCACTATGCCTGGCCCCAGGTATAAAACACCAAAATTCTCATATTTCTAGATTGCTTGAAACCTTCTAATAATTCCCAGTTTCTGTTAAAGTAAAATCCAGTCGTCTTATGTCCTGGGATCTTGCCCTTATTTACCTCTCCATCATAATCTGTTTTTTTTTTTTTTTTTTGGGTTCTAGAGATTGAACTCAGGGGCACTCCAGCACTGAGCCATATCCCCAGCCCTATTTTTTGTATTTTATTTAGAGACAGGGTCTTACTTAGTGCTTCACATTGCTGAGGCTGGCTTTGAGCTCACAATCCTCCTGTCTCAGCCTTCTGAGCTGCTGGGATTATTATTATCATTTTTTCCATTTCTTCATTCATTCTACTACACTGGCCTTCTATCATTTCCTCAAGCTGCCAGTTCTTTTTTTCTCTAGGAGAATGCTGTTCAACAGCATATTCTGTAAAAGTGGAAATGATCTGTTCTGTCTTGTTTAATAGCCACTAGCCACACATTGTTGTTAGGTATTTGAAATGTGATCAGTGCAACTAGAAGCTAAAGTTTTTATTTAATTTTAGTTAATTTAAATGTAATACCCATGAGTGGCTAGTAGCTACCATATTGGACAGTGCAGCTGAACAAGTACTTTTGAATGTGCTCTTCTATCTTCCTTAGAGTACTCTCCTTCTCCCTGGCTATGTGCTACTCATCCATCAGATTGAAATGTACTGCTTCTCCAGAGAGGCCTTCCTTGACCCATTAATGTAAATTAGGAAATCACATGCTATTCTCTCTCATCACTAGTACTTTCCTATAGAGTACGTATTAACAGATTGTTCAGTTTTCCATTTAACAGTTGCCTCTCCACTTAAGAGGAAGTATCATATCTGATTTATTCACTGCTACATAGTTTCAGGACAATGTCTGGCACTTAGTTGGGTTTCAATAAATCCATCAAATGAATGAACTTTCTGAAACACTTTCTGCACTTCCAGAATGAACTTTCTGAAACACTTTCTGCACTTCCATAGTTCTTGAAAAAAAAGCTCACAGGGTAGTTTTTTGTTTTGTTTTGTTTTGTTTTAATCTAGTCCCAGTGATACTCTAAAAGGTATCTCTCAGAACATACCCTAGTGCCTGGTGGTAAGGACACAGGGACCTATTCTTTGGTGTCTGTCTTTGGGAAGTCCTAGGTGTTGTTATACTTAGTGTCCTGGTGGTATAACATAAGGCTTTTTAGGAGGTCTTATCTTATCCAGTTTGTTATATACAAGCCTAGACCTAAGTTCCCCAAATAATTAATTATATATAACATCTCAAATAACACAGTGCCTAATACTTAATAGTTGCTTAAATGCTAAGTGACAGTGCTTTGAAAACTGTAGCATTCCAAATGATGACAATAGAAGCTTCTCCTTCAGAGCTTGTGTGATGATTTGGAAGATAAACCCAGAATATTTAGACCAGAATTATGAATAAAAGTTACTTCAAGAGCTTTTGATTTGGACCACAGATTCTCCTACCCACTTTCCCTAAGGTTGCAGAAATAACCAGGCAAAAATTCAGAAATGGGCAACAAGTGACCTATTATTAATTGGGTACTATCTTAATCTCTGTTGTTGTTGTTGTTGTTTAATCAAAGTTGACAGTGTAAAATCTTTGTCTAAAAAGATTGTTTCCAAAAGAATGTTTATTACCTATTTCTGGAAGATGGGAAGTAATGGTGTTGAGCAGCAGAGAGCAGAAAGGACCAAGTAAACATCGTTACACTTTTTGAGATTATGAGCTAATCATAAAAGCAAAAAATTCATGATGTGTAATTGTACATTTACAGGTAGATTCTGAAGAGCCGGTCTTTGAGGCTGTCATCAATTGGGTGAAGCATGCCAAGAAAGAGCGAGAAGAATCTTTGCCTGACCTGCTACAATATGTGCGGATGCCCCTACTGACGCCCAGGTACATTACAGATGTAATAGATGCTGAGGTAAGTCATGCAAGACTCTCTGAATCCAAACCCTTGACTAGCTCCTATAGTTTAATATTTACTGTGTCCTTAAAACTGGTCATTTTAGTGTGCTTGGAGTCCCTTGGTTTGCCTCTCCAGGAATGCCAGAGAGGATAGTGCTGGATCATCAGGCACATTTCTAAGAAAAGTAGAAGTCAGACTCCTGACACTAGTCAAAATCTGTGGTTTAATTTAATTTTGTGTGTGTGTGTTTGTTTACATACCTCTAAGGGTTTTACTTAAGCAACATCAGATGATATACTTTATTCCCTTCCCTATTGCACACAAATTGTTATAGATTACCCTAAAAAGAAGAGCAGATATGCTTTGCTTAGCAAGCTTCTTTATTTTTGCCCTCTAGTGAAGCCAGCGTGAATGTAGTTTAATATACTTTATTTTATTTTTTTTCTTCTTCTTCTCTTTTTGGAACTGGGGGTTGAACCCAGTGATGCTTTACCACTGAGCTACATCCCTGGCCTTTTTTTAAATTTTTTATTTTGAGACAGGATTTCACTGTTGCTTAAGTCCTCACTAAGTTGCTGAGGCTGGCTTTGAACTTTTGATCCTCCTGCCTCAGCCTCCCAAGTCACTGGGATTACAGGTGTGTACCACTGTGCCCAACTGATGCATTTTACTATCAACCTTGTTTAAATGTTGAGTTTACTTACAGAAGTGTTTCCTCAACTTAAGATTTTTGTAGTATGTTTTTAAAAGTTTTATAATACATACCACCTATTACCTTAACCATACCATGAGAGAACACTGATTTATAACATATAGGTCCAGGTTAGCAAATGAGTTCCTTCTGTGCACACAGCCCTGAGTCAGTGTGGAAGTTAAATACAAAAACATTTTCTTTCTTAAAACCTTGCACATATGCTTTGCATCCAATTCTTCTTTTTTTTTTTTTTTTT